TCCATCGTCCCCCGAGGCGTGCGTGGACCGGTCATCCCCCGAGGCGAGCGTGGACCCGTCGTCCCCGGAGGTGAGCGTGGATCCGTCCCCCGAGGTGAGCCTAGACTCATCTCCTGAGGTGAGCATGGATGCATCCCCTGATGTGAGCATGGAAGCGTCGTCTGAGGCCAGTGTGGAAGCATCTCCCAAGGCTAGTGTGGGAGTGTCACCTGAGGCCAGTGTGGACACATCGCCTGGGGCTAGTGTGAAAGCACTCCCCAAAGACATTGTGGAAGCGTCCTCCAAGGCATCCCCCAAGGTGGGCGCGGAAGCATCTTCCAAGGTGAAAGTGAAAGACTCTCCACAGGTTTGTCAAGTGCCTTTTATTGACAAAGTTTCTATTAAAATCTGTATTTAGTTGTGTAGGTTATGTTAGGTCAGGTTTCACAACATAAGCAACTTCTTTTTTTTTTTTTTTTTTTTTTTTTAAGATTTATTTATTTATTTATTTGACAGAGAGAGAGAGAGAGAGAGAGAGAGAAATCACAAGTAGGCAGAGAGGCAGGCAGAGAGAGGGGGAAGCAGGCTCCCCGCTGAGCAGAGAGCCCCATGCAGGGCTGGATCCCAGGACCCTGGGATCATGACCAGAGCTGAAGGCAGAGACTTAACCCACTGAGCCACCCAGGTGCCCCCATAAGCAGCTTCTTAATATTTATAGCATTCTGTAAAAAATTAGTAAAACAGGATAACTCACTTTAATGATTTAAAATTCTCTGGTATTTGTTGTACAGTTTCCCCTCAAAGCTGGAATATTAGTTCATTTTTGGTAGCAGGGAGTAACTGTTACATGAACTCTAAACTCTGAAGAGAAATTTTTTGAGAAATATAGCAAACCTTTTAATCAGGATTTAGAAATAGAATTAGGTTTTGAAGTGAAAGATGTTTTAAAGTAATTATTTCCGTGACCTTGAATTTTGTAATCTGAATTGTTATGCTTGAAAAGAAAATGGGGAGTTTAAGGAGCTATAATTGTACTATATTCATGGTATTTTTGTCTAAAAAAAAGCCAGCTGCAGTAAGGTAAATGCTAATTTATTAATCTGATCATATGCTTTGTTCAGAAATCAGAAATGGACAAACAGGCTTCAAACCCTGCTACCAAGAAGCGCCCACCATCGCATATACCGTGTTACAAATGGCCGTCATCTCCTGCAAGTGGGTGGCGTCCACCTTCTCCCATCAGTATTAAGTAAGTTTATTTGCAACTGTTCCTGATAGGTATTTTACCAGGACAAATTTCACATCAGTGTTTCATAAATGAAATAATGTAGTATGAATTGTAATGTAAATATAAAGAGAAAAAAACCTTTAAAATGGATTTACCCCATCATAAAATATTATCTCATAATATCAAGACATTATATTTATGAAATGACACTTTATAAACTTAATTAGCACATATCTATTAAAAAACCATACCAGATTTCCCCCATTAATGGTTACTTTTTCCCAGCAGGCAAATGCAGAAGAATCGCCCGTCATCACCATCACCTGTCATGTCAAAACAGTCCCAGTCTGCTCTTTCCTATAAAGTAATCCCTGTTCAGCGTAGCCTGTTGGCACAAAATGCATTGGGTAGTCTTGGAAAGAAAAGAGAAGGAGTGCCTAAAGCTGCTAGCAGCGCTGAGGCTGTGAGCCCAAAGCAGATGGTCTGTGAGGGTAAGTTCCTTTACTAAGAAGTTTATTTTGGCAACATGGAAAATCTTAGGTAGTTTGTGGATGGTTGCCTTTGTTTTATTCTCCATTTCTGAGAACTTTAGGGGGTGAGTGAGCCTTCTTTTGATAGAGAATTTAACCAGTCATTGGCACATTGTTTTCTTTTTTCCTTGCTGGAGCTGCTTACTCACCCCCACCCCCTTGTTGAGGAAAAACCACTTTCGGAACTGATTTTTTTTTTAAGATTTTATTTATTTATTAGAGAGAGATCACAAGGAGGCAGAGAGGCAGGCAGAGAGAGAGGAGGAAGCAGGCTGCTTGCCAAGCAGAGAGCCCGATGCGGGGCTCGATCCCAGGACCCTAGGATCATGACCTAAGCCAAAGGCAGAGGCCTTAACCCACTGAGCCACCCAGGCGCCCCTGGAACCGATGTTAAAAGTACTGGTTGGGGGCCACGTGGGTGGCACCGTCAGTTAAGCATCTGATTCTTGGTCTGGGCTCTGGTCCTGATCTCAGGATCCTGAGATTGAGTCCCGTGGCAGGCTCTGTGCTTGGCATGGAGTTTGCTTGGGATTCTCTCTCTTCCCCTGCCTGCCCTCCCCTCAGATAAATAAACCTTAAAAAAAAAACAATGAAAGCAATGCTTGGATGAGCTGTAGGTGATCCCTGGGGTCCCATCCAGCTCTGATAGTGGATGGTTCTGTGAATGGCCATAAGGTGTTGTCCATCCTTGGAGAGAGCACATCTGGTCATTTGTGGCCCTGCAGGTGTCCATAAAGAGTTGACAGTCATTTCCATACATGGGCCGTGACATTTTAAATATACTGGTAAATTCTTTTTAGAAGGATTTCCACGGTGATTTTTTAAAATCATAGGAATAATCTTTTTATTACAAATTATTCATTCCTGATTCCTTAAGATCCTTGTTATATGTGATCTATTTAAAATAGTCATTATGTGGACTGAAATATTACAGTATGTCTCTGCGTGGTCTCCTTATTTTACTGATAGTCTTGGTTTCTTTGGTTGTGTAGTTCGCCACTTTATGATCAGTCAGATACAGTTTACTGTTACCATGTTCATCTAAACAGTAATTATTTAGTAAAAATTCTGCACAAATTTCAAAATGCATGCTGGCTTTATTTTTCTTTAGTCAGGTTATTTGTATGCTTCATATAGACTGAGCATAAGTTTGTTTTCCTCAGTATTCACTGTGTCTTCATCTTTGTCCCCCAGAAGGTCACTTTAGTCTGATGTCTCTCAAAGTGGCTAAACCAAAGTGGGAGTACATTATTTCATTTGGAGCAAGTAGTTAATCAAAAGATAAACTGCTACTTATGTTATTGGGAGTGGGGTTGGGTTTTTGAACCAAACCTGTTCTGTTGTAAGCACTTACTTACACGTTGCTAGTTACTTATAAATTTTAGACCGTGGGTGTATTGTTTGGGTTTTTAATGTTGTTGGTTGTCTTGCACCTCTTTATTGGACTTAAGGGTGTTAAGTTCCCTCAGCTAACTGTTTTACTTGTTAATTTCAACTAGAGTCTAGTAATAAAAGCCCACCAGGGACTATGAATGCCAAGGAGGCAACAAAAATTTTGGCAGAGAAGCGACGGCTTGCTCGTGAACAAAGAGAGAGAGAAGAAAGAATACAAAAGGAAAGGGAGCAGAGGTGAGCACAAATCCACTCTTTCCGTACTCTCAGTCTTGGCCGGGGCCCAGATTTTGAAAGTCAAAATGTACCTTCAGGTTCGATGTATTATAAATTATCAAAGAGTGACTGACTTTAGTGTGAATCAGAAATGACTTGTTGCCTTCGAAACAAATGTGGGAAGCATCTTCAGCAGAGAGGACACTGGTTTGTAGAGAGAGATGGTGTAGTCTGGTAGCCGTGCATCACGCGTGAAGATGCGCAAGGAGTCCAGCACTTGGGTCAGGGTCCCACACCGGCAGGAACACCCAAGTGGTCCAACCAGGCTGTTGCTGTTGGCATTTACTGGGGTCAGTCCCTTTCTTTGTTTCGTAGTCTTTCGTAACCTTAGACTTTGTAAACCTGGAAAGTGTACTACCTTGTGTTTCACTAGGACTTTCCAGTGACTTTTGTGATACCTCAGTGTCACCAAGCCTTGCCGAAATGCTTTCCTGGGGCAGCAAACCTCGTGTACACTTGAGTTCATTCTAACTCATCTCAAGGTTTCTTGACCCTCAGTCTTGAGCTCACTTGACCTAGGGCCCTGGAATATAAATCTCTGTCCACGGCCTGCACAGAATAGCTACAGTCCTGAGGTCGTTTTGAAGTAGTAAGTATTTGAAATGCAGTCACGTGCTTTCAGTACTCTCTATGTGGGTTTGGAAAGAAAGGGATGTTGTGAATAGCAAAAACAACATGTTAACTTGAAGAACATCATTGCTTCGTGTAAACAGCTCATTTAACATTTTAAAAGCCCCGCATACTGGTCATTGTGGATAGGTTTCCCTCTGGGCACCACCAGACCCTCCTTTAAATTATCATGTGTGAGATTGCGTGGGAACATGTGTATAATGAGGCCTTTTGGAGGGTCCCATGTGTTTAACACAGTTAAGGATTGCCATTCTTTCTCTCCTTTTAAAATGTAGCCTACTATTTGATAAAAATCTTTTTCTACTACCAGGCGCTAGTTTCCCCCATTTAAAAATGATAAAATTGGGGTGCCTCGGTGGCTCAGTCGGTTGAGGGTTCTGACTCCTGGTTTCAACTCAAGTCATATCTCAGCCTCGGGTTGGGCTCTGTGCTGAGTGTGGAACCTGCTTGGGATTCTCTCTCTCCCTCTCCCCCTGCCCCCCCCCCC